AACAATCCGAAGTGTTGCCAAACGTTTGATTTGTAGGTATTTTTCGGTGCGCTGTGTTTCTCTTTCTCCTCGACTTCCGTGTGTGTTGATAACTGAGACTCTCGGCCTCCCTAGTGGCGAAGATATCAAAGATCGTATCTGCTGAGCGTTGACAAGATTAGGGGATTTTATATGAATGAATCGGTTTTTTACCGATGCAAAGACGCTACGCAATCGATGCATCGCGAGTTCAACCCGGTTCAACCCAAACTGTAGCCGATGTGCACTCTTTCAACCGGTGCACTCGCATCTTGAACGTTTATGCCGGTGCACCGATGCGAATCGGTGAATCTTAACATCTCTAGTATCCGTGGCCGTGGCTGTGCAACCTTCTTCTCCAGCCAGCCAGGAGGAGAGACTGGATTTGGCTGTGGTCCAACAGTTCCCCCAAGGGCCCCAACCGATAGGGGACTCTATGGCGCTATTGAGACCCCCGACGCCAAGATCAAAAGCTATATTATAGCAACCGGTCTATGAAGGCCTACCGGCCCATTCCCCAGAGACAAACATCAAGGAAACAGGTTTAATTCTCTTCTTAGTTTGCTGTGCCGTTGTCAGGCTGTGGTGGTCTGAGGCCAGGGCAGGCTGTTGTTGATAGCCTATACATGTGGCGCTTCTGAGTGGTTGTGTATGTCCGTGCGTGTGTGAGCGCATCAGCGTGCGCTTATGTTTGGGGCGATGGGGGGGCCCAAAACAATATTTGCACCGGGGCCAATCACAACCTTGTTACGCCACTGCCTACAGCTATTTGTTTACGTGTTTAAAAAAGCACCAGAAGCTTATATATACACATCTAAGTTGTTCGTGCCCCACCACCACTTTTGTAAAAACGCCACTGAGTGTGTTAAGGAGAAAGATATCCAGAGCAGAGCCTCAAAACAGAGATTTAAACAACAGTAAACAGGAAAAGTTTTGACATTTCTTCTAAAACAGCAGCTGGGTCACATGATCTGTCCCATGTCAGCTGATTGGATCCCACAAAATAGGAACAGATATATATTTTAAGTTGAGAGAAGATATTAAGATGTAAGAAATGTCAATCAACCTACACAACACCTTTCTAATTTTCCAATAATGTGACTACAATTTTAAAACCATTAAATCTACTAGCAAAGTCACTTCACATATCTCCTCACACTCCCCCTGGTGGTTTTACTACATTAATAACATCTGTTAAAGGTGGGGTAGGTCATTTTGGAGAAACCAGCTCGAGTGCGCTAGAAAAGGGTTAGGGTTAGTGTAATTCCCTCGAAGCACAGGCAGACACAAGTGGCTTTCTCATTACGGGTGTATTCCTCCGAATCCACCGTGAAAACTACACAAACAAACAGTATAAATGACAAACATAGTTTCGTGCAAGCCAGGAAGAAAGATAGGTCGTTCTGGCTCGGGAAACACTTGGAAATGTGGAGAAGTTCTGAACAAAAAGACAATTATCAGTGATATAAAAACAGTTCAATGTTTTACGGAATAGATAGCCCAGTGGGTAAAGCCGGCGGCCCGAATGCGGCGATGTCCCCTGCGCAGCAGATTCAAAGCCCGGAATGGATGTAGCCTACTTTTAATCATTGCTTTTCAACTTTAATACTTTAATAACTGTTAAAAGGCCGTCTCCTCCCAAAAAAATTTCCAGCACTCTCTAGTCTCTTCTCAATAACCCAATACACACAATTATCAATCTTTAATTGCAAATAGAACATGATATTCAGTCTTAGTGTCGAATATTTTTCAAGGCAAAGATACGTTAAACCCACTGCAGCCTTGCACTTCGCCAGGAGAGGTCGCTGTAACTGAAGCTTCGAGAAATGAACCTATTTCCGACACAATTGTCCAAGTGGTTCGACGCTTCATTCAAAGCTTCATTTTGCCATCACTACCTCGTTGGGCTGCATGCTCTGTATACAGAGGGAAGTATTCTTCAGTTCTCTTCACAACTTATATGTATAAGAATACAAAACTAACGGAGCTGTAAGTATCCGTGCATCTTACTCTGAGGGTGCTTCTCATGTTCTCGCTCTCTAACTCACGCGAGAACAGCATAACGAGACGTGAGCTTGGACTTCAAAATAAAAGACGAAATATTGCACGCATGAAACATTACAACAATAATTATTATTACACTTAGAAAATACACATTACAGTTAAATTATGAACATGTCAAGGCTGCACTTACAGTTAGGGTTAGGAAAATACACAGCCAGGAAAAAATCTGCCACTTTACAGAGCTCCTCCTCCAGCACACACGAACGTGCACATGACCAATGAGGGCACGAGATACGTTTGTGCACAGATGGAAGGCTGACAGGCAGGTAGGTCATCCAGTTATTTTAGCCGGGCCGGCTAAAATGATTGGTCGTGCTTTTTACAGTACTACGGCTTCCACAGATGACGTTTTTTAATTGATTTTTTGTCAAAGCACTTAAGATATTCATTGCTATCGGGATGTTAAGAGCATTCCATGGAATATAACAAAACGTGTATCTCGAGCCGGTTTCTCAAACTTATCTACCCCACCTATAAGGAACTTTTAATTTTTTTAATTATTTATTTTGGCCAGACACATTTTCCCCCCCATCCCTCGTAGGTGGGGGGTGTCACCTTTAGGCTGGCCAGGACACAACATCCCTCAAAACATGAACACTCACAAAGGTAATAAAGGAAATGCAAACATAAAAAGTCCTGTACCTTTGTGTGTGTTTATTTCTTAAAGCAGCAAATCTGTTACCGTCACCCTAACAAAATGTCTCTATCTCATTCTTCGATGAAGAGCAGCACACAGCCACTTATCTGAACTTTCAGAAGAATAACATAAGAATCTCTTGCTAAAAACACACATGTGCTTTAAAAAAAAGTTAACGACTCAATGGGAATAGGAATGAATGAGAAAAGTAGATCGACAAGAGGATAAATATTTGAAAGCAATACAAAATAGTTGAGAGCCTTATTGCATTATATCTTGATAATGGTCACCTTGTGTCTGATTTTGGTTTTTCTTTGCATGAACAAAGACATTTTTGCCATAAAGTGTTGCATAAAAACTAATCAGAATGCAGGAAACTAAGTGTTTGACACTAAAAAGCAGTGCCCACCACACATTAATGTTGTCTTGACGATCCAGCTGCATATTAGAGTTATATCATCTAAAGATTATTGCAATGCATCCTATTTCATAAGGGAGTACACTCAAAAACTACAAAGCATTATCCACAAATCTGCACAAATTGTCTAAGTCAGTTGCAGCTCAATCAGAATGCTTGTCCTAGGGATTATTTGTTGTAAAAGAATAGAGGACACATCTTTTATGGCCTTAAGTCCCCGTGCTGGCTTCAGTGGGATTCATGTTAAGATGCTAACACTTTACAATAACTCCATTCATGGGCATGTACTTGATTTTCGTGTTAAAAATGTAAATGGTATAGTTTATTAATGTGAGTTATAAAGCACTCCAGGAGAGGGAGACATTGCTCTAATAATTCCAATAGTTAACATCCAAAACTGGTCAGCGACAGTGACACAAGGTTGCATCAGACAGTAAAAAGAACATCAAGGAACAAGAACAAATGGAAGAATGCCCAAAACAAATTCAAGAAATGTAAAACATAATAAAAAGATTGGTGTTTATTTTTCCAAGAAACTTTAGGTCACAAAGTCTGGTATGGGGTGTGGAGTAAACACTTCACCAATAGGGTTTTAAAAAAAATTCAGCAACAGCCATAAACATCTGCACACCCACGGGTTACAAGAAGTCCTTCTTTGCATTCTTTCCGCCTTCTGTAATGGATGTACTGAATGGGTATAAAGGGCATAGGCCCTAAACCAGAGTCGGTCTGAAGTCAAATATTTCTCAGTAAAAAAGTCAATTTAGAGACAACATAGAGACACAAAGCATTTGGGTCACATTGTTAGTAAGTGTTTTCAGTCTTGCTCCTATAGATGGGAGCCTTTTATTTAGTTGTTTGTCCCTTATAATCCATTCATTCTTTCATCTCAATTCAGCTGATTTCATGCTAGGAAAGAAGTGTGTTGCCAAAGCAAAACATCGCAGATGCGGGGGAAGAGAACTCATGCAGATCAACTGTTGATGATTGTGGTTCTTTTATGAATTGTACAGATGCGAGAATGCTCCTTAACCTAAGGCGTGGTTAAGATTCTCATAATATTCGCCTTCATCTATCGCTAGCACAGGGGTGGCAAACATACGGCCCGCGGGCCGGATCCGGCCCGGGAGGCATTCCAGCTTGGCCCACGGAGCTGAAGGATTTTGCTAAGTAGGCTACTGTATGAGAGGAGGGGAAAAAAACTGCTATTTTGAATCCTTCCACTAGTGGGCGCACTACCGCACCGGTACCAGTGAGAGCGCAGCCAGACTGTAAAAAAAGTGATGAGTAAGAGTAGTGATTGCAGTCAATAACCTCTGACACTCTCATCCCCAAATGTCTCTGTCAAAAAAGAGAAAAGTGGACACGGAGTGCCGAGTTTTCCAAGAAAAATGGACCGCATCCTATTTTTTTACAGAGGTAAATGGAAAACCTGTATGCTTGGTGTGTTCGCAGCAAGTTGCTGTGCCCAAAGAATATAATATTCGCCGCCATTATGAGACTCACCATGGAGAGAAATACGACTGCTTGCAAGGACAACGGAGAAAAGAAAAGATAAATGACCTGCTATCAGGTCTAAAGAAACAACAGGCCGTTTTTACCCGGAGCCGAGATATAAGTGACGCAGCCGTGAAAGCCAGCTATCTCATTGCTAACGAAATAGCATCAGCCTCAAAGCCATACTCTGAGGGTGAGTTTGTGAAAACATGCATGCTGAAGGCTGCAGAAATCGTGTGTCCTGAGAAGCGACAGGCTTTTTCCAACATTAGTCTAACGAGGAATACAGTGAAGGATAGGATTGCCGATCTTTCAGCAGATTTGGATAGCCAGAAAAAAATAAAAGTCAAGTCATTCGTAGCATTTTCAGTTGCAATCGATGAGAGCACTGACATTACAGATGTTGCTCAACTGGCCATATTCATTCGTGGTGTAGATGAGACTTTGACGGTCACCGAAGAGTTCCTTGAGTTGGTTCCTATGACAGACACCACTAAAGCGGATGACATTTTTAGCGCTCTCGTTGAAGCACTGGACAGGGTCGGAGTGGACTGGACCCGTGCTGTCAGTCTGGCTACAGACGGCGCACCATCAATGATCGGGAAAAAAGCAGGTGTTGCCACGAAATGCAGGGAGAAAGTACAAGCAGCAAATGGAGGAGATCGTTTTTGGACATTCCACTGTATTTTGCACCAGGAGGCATTGTGTTGCAAGACGTTAAAAATGGATCACGTCATGAAAGTGGTTGTCCAAACTGTTAATTTCATCCGAGCCAGAGGGCTGAATCACCGTCAGTTCGACAGCCTCCTCAGTGATAAAGACATCACCTGTAGCCTACCATATGAAGTAAGGTGGTTGAGCCGAGGTGCCGTGCTGAAGCGTTTTTCTGATCTACGCGAGGAAATTGGACAGTTCATGGAGAAAAAGGGTAAGCCAGTGCATGAATTAAAAAACCCAGAATGGCTGCAGGACCTTGCATTTATGGTGGATATTTCAGAGCACTTGAATAATCTGAATATAACGATGCAAGGTCGCAAACAAGTTGTCACAGAATATTATGACAGCATACGCGCATTTAAGTTGAAGCTGGCTTTGTGGGAGACACAGCTGTCAAGTGGTGACCCTGCTCATTTCCCTCATCTAAGAAATGTGCATATGACCGGAGTTACTGCTGACATGAGTCGGTACAAAGACAACATTACGGAATTGCTGCGGGAGTTTGAGCGGCGGTTTCAGGTCTTTGGTGAGCTTGAGACAGAGTTTGCAGTGTTTCGCTCGCCATTTGCAGTTAAGGCTGCGGATCTGCCCGTCGACATACAACTTGAGATAATCGACTTACAATGTGATCAGGATTTAAAGGACAAATTTGCCTCATCGGACTTGGGCACATTTTATCGGTATCTTTTGCCAGGATACCCCAAATTGACAGCCCTGGCAGCAAAAGTTTTGAGCATGTTTGGGACCACCTACCTTTGTGAACAGGTTTTCTCTGTAATGAACATTACTAAAACAAAGCTGCGCTCAAGACTCACACACAAGTGCCTGAATGAACTCATTAAATTGGCTGCTAGTCAGGATTTTAAGCCTGATATTGATGCCATTGTGAGGGCTAAAAGATGTCAAGTTTCAGGAGCAAATTAATCAGTGACGTGAAAATAAGAACCTACTGAAATATTTGAACATGTTATATTATTATGTCATAGAACATTGTGTATTATAATGTCAATCAGCAGCTGCATTAGGCAAACAATAGTTTGATTTGATGTGGCACTGCCCAACTTCTTTTTAAAATATAGAAATGTTATATCTTCAAGGCAAGGGGGGTAACTCAAACTCCTCACTTAATAGCTCCCACGTTTTTATTTGTATTTTGTGGTGAGTCAGTTCAGGTGGAAACTGTGATCTGTTGTAAAGAACATATGTGTAGCACTTGAAATTGCACTTGTTTTTTCTTAATAAATGTCAGTTTGTTCATAACGTTTTGCGTCTCATTACATGTGGACATTTTCCGAATGTACTTGTAGCCTACTTATTTGCACTTAAACAGAAATATTGTCGTTATAGGGCCTGTGGGTTATTATGCTATGATTTTACTGGTCCGGCCCACTTTAGATCAAAGTGGGCAGTATGTGGCCCCTTAACTGAAATGAGTTTGCCACCCCTGCGCTAGCAGGAAGCAATTACTTTAACACTTTGATGACTACAGTATGTATTTTAAGTAAAGGACAGATGCATCTACTAACTGTAAATATTTTCCTATAGGGCCATAACTTTGACCCAGTTTATTAGTACTGCCCTCGCTGAGCACAGGCCTGCCACCTTGGGCTGCTGTGCTCTCAGTGTTTTGTCACCCTATTCCTGCCTGAAGGCGTCAGCTGATAGAGGTGTTATAGTTCTTTATCTTGTTATCCACAATGTTGATTATTCTCTCAGAACTAGTTAAATACAGGGGTCTGGGGTAGAGATCTTCAGAATTGGTTTGGCAACCGCTGTGTCAACTCGTGGGACAGCACATGTCTTGTGAATTCTCCGGCCAGGGCCCCAAATAAACCATCAGTGTTTGCCATCAATGTTCCTGCTCTCCCCGTGTCTCTCTGAGTCCTGTCTCCATTGCTTCAGAAGTTTGCATCACACTGATAACTTAGTTCATAAGGTGATTCCATCAGGCTTCTGCAACAGGTGTTCATAATGAACACACAAAGGATGGAACTCTTGATTTATTTCCTTTACGTTTTTGACTATTATGGTTGCTTCTTGTCAGAGAGTACCAGAATTCGGGGCACAGGTATAAGGTGTATCATGTCATATGATTGGGTGTGTCTGACCCCGGAAGGGCATATGGTTTTTGACCACCTTAGCGCGAGTATTAAAGTATTGCAACGATTGTTTGTATGAATGACATCTGAATGGAAATGGACTCTTCTTTTACGATTCACAACAATATAGAATAAATGGATTGTATTATTCTGCACCTGATAACGAGCCTACCTAATCTTCATTGAAACAACAACACAAACGGTATTGTATCCACATAGTATAGCTGGTCAGCCAGGTAATTCCCGGGAGTTAAAACACCACATAGCTTTAGCATTAAGCTAAATCTCCAACAGATACAATTCAAACTTCAATCGGTCTGTTTATTGATATTATATTTTAGAATTATTTTTAATTTAACCGGGTAGGCAGTGGATTTAATTCCTCTCGACAATTATCCTGTTCCTGTTTTTCAGAGATTCCTCTGTCTATCTCTCTGTGGCACACGGTTTCCACTTGAGTCTTGTCACAAAGGCATTTACCGATAGCATTGTGTACACAGTAGTGCCACATCATGACATGGCCTGAACTGGGGGTAGCTTGCACCTGTTGACCATTCACAGTGTCATCTTCACAATAACATATAGGAGGTTCAGAGTCAGAAAAACAGAGTTTGAGTAGTGGTCTGAGTTGCAGCATATTTTGGCGAAACCTGCCAAACACCCATGCCAGTGTTCTCAGCATCCAGTCAAAACCCTGTTTGATGATCACAGAGATGGTGTTAAAGAGGGAATAAGTGCAGCACACTCCCAAGAGCATCAGGAGACAGTTTGCAACCTGGTACGCCCATGTGTCCTCATGGTGCTCTCTCTGGCCACTAACAAAATCCCCAAAGCCCACTGTGCTGAACGCCACAAAGCAGAAGTAAAGGGACTGTGTGTAAGTCCAGCCCTCCATGACTGAATAGAGAGAGGCAGCCCCACAAGCAACCAGCAGGACAGCTACAAAAAGGATGAATGTGACTTGGTATACAGATGGTTTCCAGTCTTCATTTCTGTCATCTTCACTGGTTCGGCCCTGCAGTCCACTGTGTTTGATTCTCCTTCTGTGACACCTAAATATAAGCAAGCTTAGCATTGTTATGACTCTCTCCAGGAAGAGATTGAAGAAGAGTATGGTAGCCGAGCAGCCCAGCAACCCATAGAGAACGAGCAAGGCCTTCCCCGTAACAGTGATCGGGGCTGTCACTCCGAACCCTAAAAGAAACATTTATGGTTAAAGCTCTCATCTGTAATTACAGACACTATCATATCATTAATGACCTTGCACATAGAATTGTATTTGTACCACTGTCAAATGTGTTGTGTTACGCCATGGCCTAGTAAGTGCATTTTGGCAATATTAGGATGGATGTAAGTTTTACTATGTAATATTTAAAACAAGAAATCACCTGCCTTTTTACTTATAAAGCTATAGAAATTAGATGATAAAACACTGAAGAACTTTGGTGTCTATATATGTCCTATTGTCCTGCATAATAATAATAATAATAATAATAATTCTGGCCATTTAGAAATTATTTATTTAATGTGCTTAAGAATAAAAGGGTGCACCTGGCAAAGTTACACTTTTATGCTGGTGTGCATAAAAATAAAACATAAAAGCCTAGTATCCTTTTTGGCCATAAAAGAGTTTACGCTTCCTCCAAGTTCCCTTGAACCATAATTGACCTTGGTCGAATGAGACCATGTGATATATTGAACTTTGCCAAGTAGCAGAGGTTGTGGCGGGGGTTTTGGCTTCCCTCCTTCCCTCCCCCGGTTTGTTCTTGTATTATTAATGACCGGATTGTACTGATTTCACCAATTCCCCAATCACCCAAGGAGGTAGAATTGAATTAATGTCTGTGACGTCGTGACCTTTACCCCAAAATAATTCAGCAGCTGCTGTAAAGCATCTATTTAATATTTAAGACAAACTTATCTGTTAAAAACATTTTACAAGTACATATACCCAAGTACACTACTTAAGTGCAATTTTGAGATAGTACTTTACTTCAGTATTTTAATTGTTCTCCCCACTACAATTCAGAGCTTAATCGTGTACTTTTACTGCACTACATTTATTTCATACACTAGGTTCCTTTGCAGATTTATGATATGAAATATAATTAATACCTAAATAAGACTTTGGTCAGACCTGGAGTAACATTCATAAGCTATCCTGCAGTATATACAGTAATTAGATGTACCTACATGTTTACCAGCTGTGATAAACACATTAATGCATCAATAATTGTAAACTAAACATAGTATTAGAAAATAGGATAATCTGCATAATGAGTATTTTTACTTTTGTTATTTTAAGTATATTTTGATTCTAAGACTTTTACTTGAGAAACATTTGCATTGCAGGCCTTTTACTTGTAACAGAGTATTCCAAGATTGTGGTGTTTCTACTTTTACTTAAGTACAAGATATGAGTACTTCTTCCACATCTGACAGCAGGTAATCCAACCCAGTATCACGGCATGTTGTGTTAGTCACGAAATATAATCTATTGATTCGTTTTCACCAACACGATTTTCCCATTTTATGATAACACAACATGCCGTGAGACTGGGTTAGGTATTCAAAGTAACTTCACCTCGATCCTTAAAACTATGGCTTACACTAACATCCTCCTTGTAAAACAAATCTTACTCATATCCTTGACCATGTGTGTCTGTTCCTGTGGTTTCACCCACTCTATCCTCTTAAACTTTTGATGGCTTGTGAGGTCTGGAGGACATCCGAGAGTCAATGAGGCTCTGGTATTGGAACACTGAAAAGGCCACTTGGACTATTAATGTACACAGAGGGCACAGGCCACACAGAGACCTGCATATGTTCTCCTGTATTCATTTAGCTGTCATTGATCAGTAACACATTAAAAAAATCCATGTGGATTTCACAACAACACTGACAGGGATAGATCACTGGAGTGTTGCAATAACAGCACTTCCAATCTTTTAGCCATGCTACTAATGTATGATCAGCAATGAAGGCGGTAGCCCACCATGTTATCCTACTGCTACCATATCCTATCCACATTATTATTTCCTTTGGCACCACTGACAGGTAAACATTTTCACTGAGAGATATTTAAAGATATACTTGATGTTTTTCGTACAACAGGGTCTTTCAGCTAGGAGGAATAGAAAAGCAGTTGAGAAGAGGGGAGGAGAGGGGATGGAATAGTGTTGGACTGGAAGAGTTGAAATATTGGGCTGAGTGTTTGGCTTGGATGATTAAAATACTTCTTCTGCTGGCTTTTTCATTGTTCCCCTTCCAAGTTTTTCACGTCATATCAACGTCAGGAAATGTCTTTATCGGGTGGACCAGGAGAGCCACCTGTGAGGTTTATTCCGTTTCTATGTGAAAAGATTCTTTAGGAATATTTGTTTTGGTCAGTGGTCTAGACTAGAGGAAGGAAAATATATCTGCCAAAGCCATGAGTCATATGATAAGTAAAGCATTTGATTGTGGGGAAAAAAGTTTGTCAGGATGTGTTTTAGTGTCACATAGTATCCTGATTGCGGTCAGTAAATAAGGAAGTTGTTGTTAAAAGGAAATTGACCAGGGCTCTGTGCCATCTGTTGCTTGGTTTCCACGGTGACAGGGAGGGACTAAAGATAGTAGATACAATTACAAGTCTGTAAATTGATTCTCAGAGATGAGGCTTGTTTCATTTTTATCTTGAGAACATGTTTGTCCTCTACAGGTTAAGGTAGAATATGGATTTGGATTGATTGAGTTTAAAAACAACTCCCCCCTGTATGCCTCCCCAAATCAATATGGCTTAATGTGTCCTTTATAATTCAGTTCATAGGATTAGTTCATTGTGTGTAATTGTAGATGATTTATTTTGCATGAACATGGTATGGCTTGGTCATAAAGGGATCATCTCTGTGTCAGGAAGTGCTGAACAATTTGCCTTTATCTTATCTGTTGGTTTGTCAATTGCTATTTTTGTGTGTTATTTTAGACCTCGGGACTGTGGGAAACAGTATTTCGATCTTTCTGTGTGTACAAACATATTTTGAGATTGACAATAAAGGTGACAATGACTTTGACTTTGATTTGTGTGGCATAAAAATGTTGGCTGCAGTAGACAGAATAATAGATGTTGCACTTAGCAATTAACAGTAAAACGAACCGTGTTATATTTCATATTGCATTTTGAAAGACTGGACATTCATTTGACAAAAATAATCTGCTAAACCACATGATTTAAAAAAAAACATTGATGAAAATGATGTTGTGCAGAACACTGGAAAGATAATTGATAAATTATGGATTCATCAGCTGATGTTACCATTTTTCATACTTTATTCCAGGTATACCTCGTATTCTTCTTGACTCACCAATGGTGGAGACTACTGTTCCCACAAAGTAGAAGGCACCGTGTATATCCCATAGAGCTCTGCCTTGTTCTGCCCTGATGCCTGCAGTCCTGGCCTCTTCATAGTGACACAACAGGGATTTCAGGTCTTCAAGGTTTATGTTATGTTCATAGCTGAAGTCTCTTAGCCTCCTTTCCCAGAGCTGGTGGGCCTTTAGCTCTGCTGGTCTCTCCAAGGACGAAAATAAGGCAGCGCCAGCCAGCATGTAAAGAGCAATGAGCACACAGAGCAAGGAGATGCGAGCAGTTTCCCTGCTAGGGATCAGGGATGGGCAGCAGCAGGAGAAATATGTCTTCATTGTAGAGTGGATTTTTCTTCTTTGTGTGCTGTAAAATCAAATGCTATAGGCAACAGCATCAAGAGCTATGATATTTGCTCAGCTGATTGACACCACCCCACCTCTCCAAACACCACGGCAGGCCGCAAGCCGGTTGCTGTAACGGACAAAGACAAATATCTGCAAGCTGACGACATTGTGCATTTAAGCAACAAAAATGGACTACATATTTTTCATCTGAACACTAACAGCCTGAGACACAAACAGGCTGAACTCAGGCAGCTATTCATGAACGGTAAGGCAAGCATATTATGCTTTTCTGAGACCAAATTGGACAATTCTATTACAGATTCAGAGATTGAAATTGAAGATTATCTTGTAGTGAGAAGGGACAGGAACGTGAATGGAGGTGGTGTCTGCATGTACATACATAAAGACACCAATTTCAAAAACCGTACTGACCTGCATCATGAAAATATTGAATCTGTGTGGGTTGAAATTCTTTTTGACAATGCTAAATCTGTAATAGTCGGGACAATCTATAGACCACCGGAACAGAGTGACTTTTATGATACATTAGATGGGTGTTTGGCTGATGTGGGGGATGTAGAGACAATTATTATTGGAGACTGGAACACGGATATGCAACGTAAAGACACGTCCGTCTTCAAGTCCTTCAGTAGGATTTGTGATCTGCACGGCTTCAGCCAGCTAATCACCCAACCCACCCGGGTATGTGAAACAACTAGGGCCGGGACTTTAACGCCTTAATTAAGATTAATTAATTACACAAAAATTAACGCATTTTAATCGCACTTATTTTTGCACCGCGGAACGTTTCTCACTGGATGAGTTTCAGGCGTACCGATTATACTGGAGCACCAACTAACGTTCATGACTTCAGACAACAACAAACCACAGTGAACAACAGTGGGAAATGTTGTTTTAAAAAACGGACGGATGGAAGCGTCGATAAGAGCACGGTTGTGTGCAAATTATGCAAAAAGGAATTCGCATACCACCGCAGCACATCAAGCCTCAAGTATCACCTCAATGCAAAACATATAGCAGCTAGCGTGGAAGCTAGCGTGGACGTTAGCCTCTTTTATCGCGTTCACACCAAAAAGAGCCGGTACTAAAATTAGTTAATGAGAACCTTTTTACCCCCACGAAAGCAGGGACTTTCGTACGGCTCTCTTGTGAGAAAAGAGCTATATTTCTGATTGGCTGGGCGGATTGCAAACCACGCCCCGTAAAACTCCCAAAAAGTTTTGTGAAGCCGCCATTTTATTATCCTTGCATTAGCATTATTAGCATTAGCCCAGCACAGAAACGCAGAGAGACTAACTTATGGCAACACAAAATAAAACATGGGAGCGGTGGAGATGAGGAGGTGTCGGCGTTCTGGCGATTTACTCGGAAGGCTGCTGGGACTCCCAGCAGCTTCTACTGAAGCCAGTCCCCAACTCCGGGGACTTCCGGCCGGGGACTTTGGGCGGCAGTATACGCCGTGAAGTGGTTTGCGGCCTGCCAGTAAACCCAAAGCAGAAGAAGAAGAAGTGACGTCAGCGGCTTCATTTGCCTAATCCTCCCCCAGGTTCAAAGAGTTCTCATGAACTAAGTTCTCATGAACCTTTGTGGGAAAAGTACTGCGGTGTGAATGCGCCTAATGGTGTACTAAAATCCATGTGAAAAAAATTGCTTCTCACTGTTCTCAGGTCAAATATTTATATGTGATTAAAAATGCGATTAATTTCGATTAATTAATTACAAAGCCTCTAATTAATTAGATTACTTTTTTTAATCGAGTCCCGGCCCTAGAAACAACACAAACTATACCATTGATCTCATTCTGACCTCTCACAAGTCCAGGATCTCCAGTAAAGGGGTTATAGCATGCGGTTTAAGTGATTATTATATGATATTCTATACCCGCAAAAAGCTAAAACAAAGGGCCGGCTGTCACAAAACAGTCATATCTAGAGACCTCAAAAACTACTCAAGCGAGGCCTTTAACCTAGAACTGGAGAGCCTGGACTGGTCAGATGAGCTCGGTGGTACACAAGTTGAAGAAACATGGCTTGGTTTCAAAAACAAATTCTCTGCAATACTCAATGATTTGGCCCCCCTAAGAACAACCAGGGTAAAAAATTGCGCTGAGCCGTGGATGCACTCCGGCATACTGACCGCCATGAAAACCAGAGACAAAAAATGCTCTGAGTTTCATAAAAGTCAGTCAATGCTTTCCAAAAGCACGAGCAGTGAACTCAAGGCCCACGTGACTGAACTAAAAATTGAAAGAAACAGACTAAGAAATGACGTAAGCTCCATGATCAAAACTGCCAAAAAGAATTTCATCAATGTCAAAACTGAAGAAAACAAAAATAAACCCTGTGAACTTTGGAAATTACTCAATAACCAGCTTGGCTGCAGTAAAAAACTCAAAACGAGATTTTCTAACTTAAACATAAAGACAGATAACAGGCTCATCACAGACAAACTGGATGTGGCCAAGTACTTGAACATTTTTTTCACAAACATAAACAACATAAATAAATAAATAAATGACCCTCCCACTCAGGGCTTTTTGGAGTAGATCACATCATGACCTACTACAAAAACCTAGGGGTACGCAAAGATGATTTCAGTCTAGCAAGGGTAACAACAGCAGAGGTACTCATTAAACTGAGCGCCCTCCAACCTAACAAGGCCACTGGCCACGACAATATCCCCTCCAAATTCCTCAGAGACACAGCAACCGCCATCTCACCAGTCATAGCTCACATAATTAACCTCTCCATAAAACAGGGAAAAGTACCCAAAGACTTCACAATTGCAAGAGTAACCCCCCTGCACAAAAAGGGCAGCAAATTGGACCCAGGCAACTACCGCCCTGTTTCTATACTTACCTCCATCTCGAAAGTCATGGAAAAAATAGTATATGAACAGGTCGAAAAGTACCTTGCGGAAAAGAAACTAATCTATGAATTTCAATCTGGCTTTAGAACATCCCACTCCACTGACACATGCCTTCTTTATTTGAGCGACCACATCAAACAAGAGGTGGACGAGGGCAAATACTGCGGCATGGTGATGCTGGACCTACAAAAGGCTTTCGACACTGTCAATCACCCCATTCTGATTGACAAGCTAAAAGCAATTGGTTTTGATAGACTATCGGTGAACTGGATGCAATCCTACCTGGAGGGGAGAGAACAGATGGTGGAGGTAAACGGTACTCTGTCCCCCCCCCCTCCCAGTGAGCTGTGGTGTTCCACAAGGAAGCATATTAGGTCCGTTACTGTTCCTAATTTATGTAAATGACATCAGCATGTGACTGCAACTTGTTCCTGTTCGCGGACGACTCAGCCCTGCTGGTCTCTGACAGGAGCAGATTGCAGGTTGAAAAAACCCTTAGCTCCGAGCTCGGCAGAATCTGCACCTGGCTCGCCGATAATAACTTATCATTACACCTGGGTAAAACAGAGTCCATTCTCTTCGGTTCGAAACATAATCTCAGCAAATCCGACGACTTCTCAGTTGCAGTGGGTGACATTATTGTCACAAGTAAGAAGGAAATTACATACCTAGGATCTATTCTTGAGGCAAACCTCTCCTGTGACAAAATGGCATCCAATGTAAAAAAAAAATTAATCAAATAACTAGATTCCTATACCGGATCTCCTCTCTGGTAAACAAAAACACCCTGAAAACTCTGGCAGGAGCACTCATTCAAGGGTACTATGACTATGCTTGCACGTCATGGTACCATAGCACCTCCAAGGCGCTAAAAATAAAACTTCAAACATCGCAAAATAAACTGGTCAGACTACTGCTTGACCTTTCATCTAGAACCCACCTCACCTCTGCCCACTTTGACAACCTAGGATGGCTTAGAGTAGACGACAGAGTACAGCTACTTGCAATGGGCTTGGTCTACAAGATCCACTACACCTCTATGGTACCCATGTACATGTCAAAATTCTTCCCAAAGGTCAAGGAATACCATGATCATAACACCAGAGGGAGCTCCACAAATCATGTGAAACCCAGATTTGGCAAAAAAAAGGGGGAATACACGTTTCGCAATTATGCCACATCAAGGTGGAACGCTCTTCCCACAACTGTAAAGGAAAGTAAAACTATACTTACCTTCAAAACCTCTCTTAAAGAGCACATTCGGGGGAGAGCATTGCAAAACTGGCCCCGGTAATGGTACAAATCCAGTGCTGGAATTGGGCCGGTACTCACCGGTACGCAGTACCGGCACTTCTGGTTCTGACCCATGGAGTACCGGTGTTGCAGTATAACGTGAGTCATGACAACTGGCGACATTCTATTATTTTCGTCATAGGAATCCGGGGTGTGTACATTGAGGACCCATTGTTGACTTACCATGTCGATCGCCTCGTTTGTCGTTTACGTTCATCTTTTGCTATATCTGCCTTCCTAAGATCACTTTGATGCACATTCAGTACTCGTATGTGAGGTTGTGGGTGAGAGGTGGATATCGTGACGCTTACAGGGAGGTATTGAACATTACAAAGTAGGTGACTGTGTGGATGCCTGTTCAAAATATTGCAAACTTGAATAAATCATTTAAATTATATATTTGTGTCCGACTTTCATTTGTACATCGTTATTAATGTGATCTATAGTAGCTTTGATAGCTGTCCATACCTTCAGACAGCCTAAAAGTAAAACACAAGTCGTTTATTCACAGCCCGAACGCTCATCGACATGACTGGATCACTCATGACAGGTTGTGATCAGCTCCGATTAAATTATGATATCAATTCTGTAGCTATTCTCCAGGGAGCACGTTTTTTTAATGAAATACCTGTATCCCTCTCATCACAACAAGACTCTACACTGTGCAGGAAAAACAATTACATACATGAAAATAACCTTGATGCATGGGAATGAATCACACAAACTATCTTCCGTGGCTATACTGATATGTCACAGAACGGTAAACTACAGAAAAGTAAGTCCAGCGGGGCACACGTTGAATACATATA